GTTTAAAGCCAAGCAAATACTCAACAACGTTGGGAATTCCAGTCCAAGTATGTACTTACTGCTTGGATTTGATGTGCAGGTGCCTTGTAACTCTTGAGATGGAGAGAAAATGGGGCAGTGAGGAGAATCTACAGTTGCTGTAAACAGAGCTCGGTTTACACGAAGTCATGATTTTTACTGTAATATAGTAATGTAAAAAGGTGTGATGCAGTTCTATGTCATTGCATTAGGTCTGGAATTAGTGGATATGCACTGGTTTTGGTTTCTGTAAGCTGAGATTTGGTGGTGATCCACAATGCTTTTCAGATCCACAGGATCTGCAGGAGTGTGGATCACACAGGAGTGTGGATCTGAAAAGCATTGCAACCACATCAATCACTAATTTGGTAGATGAAGTGTCAAAACCAAAACTGCCTGTCCTCAGAAGGAGGGAACACCACTGTAAAGTTAGCTGTTTGTTTCCTTAGACGTAGCTGTAGTTGTACGCTCACTCAGATAACTAGATTCCTGTCTTGCCTTGTCCCTTCATAGACCATGGATGTTTGTGGGCTAGGAATTGTGTCCCTGAGGCTGGAGCTGGGGAGCACAGGTGCTTGGACATACTGGCTGAACTGTCATCCAACTTTTTGTAGGATTTTTGATATTTCTTAGTAGTGTTTGGTTCTCTGACAGACTGTAAAAGCTTCTTTTTCAGGACTTCATGGATACATGGTACTAATTTAATGTTAATCTTATTTTGGATAATTTCCTATTGGCTGTATGCTTGAAGGCCCAGTACTGGTTGTTTTGCTGCCTAGGACACTGCGGTGTTTAGTTCCCTGCACCAGCAAGTTCTGTTGAATATGGGGGGACTTTGTCTGGCATACTTCTCTTTACAGAATGGCTATGCATGTTTATTTCATTTATCTCGGAGTGGAACACACTTAAAATAGGTTAATTCTGTATCAGTTCTGAGTATCATAACCAAATGAGGATCTATTGGGTATTAAAATGAATGCCTACACGTTTGCTGTCAAAGTATAGCACCTGGGTGCATCTTTGCCTGGCCCAGTTACATTTTGTAATTAGTCCTTGTTTTTTCTGTATCAGCTTTCCCAAAATTTCATTCCTATTTGAGTTCTGTCTCATTGTATACAATGTGTTCTCTGTTGTCCTTTTGTGGCATAATGAGTAACCGAGCAGTTGACAAATTCCACATTTATCTCCTGTATCTTCCCTGCCTCCTCTAAAGTAAGACCTGTTTTCATGAATTCTTCTCTTTTGTTTCTCATTTTATATATATTTCTTTTGGATATTATTTGGGAAAGTTATCTATTCAGAAAGAACTTTAGAATTTTCTCATCCATGGTATGAGTCTCAGCTGGATTATTCAGAATGTCATTGCCAGTACTGCAAAATGTGCATATACATCTAAAATAGCCCCAGCAGTCTGAAGCTCAGCATGGTGGTAAAAGGAGCTAACACGGCTGGCTGGGTTCTGTTGGAACCTCTTTTGTTCTCCTGTGTTTTTTTGATCAAAGGGGTTGGACTAGAATACCTCTAAGAGGCCTCTTTCAACTTCGATATTATTATTTTAGAGAACTGTTTTCTCCACACTACAAAAGTGGCAAGTCAGTGCAGACTGTATTAATTCTCTACTGCCCTGAACAGTTGGGGTTCTCATGCAGAAGCTGTTACTTGGACTGTTTCTCCTGCCTTATCACTTCATTTGAGTTCTGTGGAACAAGTGGGAGGACACAGTGAGCAGCTTTATTCTTTCGTGCTCCCATGCATTTTTTAGGTCTTACATTCAGAGTGCCATTACAGCATCAGTTTGTCTTATTCTGTCAACTATACATCATTGGATAGCTCATTGTATAGCTTTTGTGTATTAATTTCCTTCCCTTGCTAACAACCTCGAAACATCTTTAAAAATACAAGTTCTCTCTTGATGCTGAAACGGGGTGAGACGTAATAGACTGGTACGGTAGCTTCTCTTAAAACTCCGGTCAACTGAGGAGTTTGTTCACTTGTGTATGTCTTATGATAACGTAAATATATTTTTTTGTCTTCTGCACACAAGGCACAAAACTGATCAGGCGAACTGGTAACTTCTCTGGCCACCTCAGATTTCATTTACCTACTTTTGCAATATATTCTGGAAGGCATTTAACCGTTTTCCCTTTCTCTCCCCTTTTCAGCTCAGAGACACTAGTCAACTGCTGTTTTTATGGAACCTCACTACACTGCCACGAAGAGCACCAGCTCATCAGGACTGAAAGAAATCTGAGACTGAATTGTCCTATTTTTCCTCTGAAATCTTCACCAAGTAGTAAACATTTTTTGAAGGGGAAAGAGGGGGTAAATATGTTAAAGCACCCCCTCACACCCAGTTAGGGCACCTGTACCTAATGTACATTTTCTTTAAAATTTAAAAAGATGTTAGGAAATATTTTATAAAACTTTTTTGCAATAAATGACGCATGAAATTATTGAAGATTATAAGACACTTACATGCAAGGAACCACTTGAATTATTAGTATGAAGAATCACTGCAAATAACTTTTTTTTTGTAATGTGACAGTCACGTTTGTATGTTTTGATAGGTGCCAGTGATGGAGCCAATTGCCTGGGAAGTTGACTGTAACTTTTGAACTTTTATTTTAATTCTTAACTTTAGCATTGCAATTTTCCATTCTATGAGGCTTAGTTAGTATTTAGTGCAGGTGTTAGCAGAGCTGTGACCTGTGATCAAAAGCATGTCCAAAACCAATTGTATTGTAAAATATGAACAGTCCTGCTATATGAGACCAATGTTTCCCATAGAGGTGATGGAAAGGACAGTGACCACAAACTCCATGTATCTCTGTATTATGGGAAAGCTCCTTCTGTGTGAATATGGTTGCATTTTATTTATGCTATTGTAACACTTAGGGAATTGACGATTGTGAAAAATGTTAAGAAGGGCTACAACAGAGAGTAGCATTTTGCTTATGATACTATAAGATGGGAGTCATGAATGGAGAGTGATTAAATTGAATGGCATTTCTCTTTCTAACCATGGGTTAATTTTTCCTTTTGACAAAATATTTTTCAGATAGGTAACCAGTAGAGCAAAGGTTTTATTAGTGTTTCTGATGGTTGTTGATCTCAGTTATATTGGACTTGTTTGAATAGCTGTAAATCAAACAAAAACAAAAACAAACACAAAGAAACAAACAAACTCAGTGGGTTTTATCCATTTTATTCCCCTCCCCAAAAAAGTGTTTGGTAAGACTTACTTCAGTGGAACTTGTGAATGCTGGACATGCTGCTGAAATACTGAGTTATTAAATATTAATTTATTTGTCACTGACTATTTGACATTGTGTGCACACTTTCTCAGCAGTATCATTTATTACAATGTTCTTAACTGGGGATTTATTATATAACCTGTGAAAATATTTGTTTTGAAGAAGTGAAAATGTGCACATAATCTACTCAAAGACAAATTTTTGTTTCTAGAGAACTGAAAAGACTTGTATTAATAAACCCTTTTCTTCCTTAATATTCTGATTCAATTGGAGAAAATAGTGTCTTTGTCCAGATCATTTAAAAAGAAAGATACCTTTCCAAGGGGCATCTGTATCAGCACAAAGACAAGTAAAGCCTTCAAATACAGCGCCTGAATTAAGTAACACTGAATTTGAAGTGAGGACAACTCCATTGTTTGGCTTTGGTGTTGGCAATGGTTTAAAACTTGTTAAGCAGTTGGGGAAGAGGGAAGTGAGAGGTGAGGACAGTCATCCAGATCCAGGAAAGGTGTATCAGTGATGCACACACACTGAGCCAGGTCATGCTTAGTGTTCACTCAATTCCTTTTTTTAAGAGGTAATTTATTTATAAAGCCAGAAATTGAATACTTACTGCCTACTTCTTAACAAATAGCTGTATAATGCTATGCAGTAGGTTCAAATTGTACCATTTTTCATAATAAAATAAGACTTTTTAAAATTTCAGATTAATATTTTACAGTGCTCCTCCTTTTCACCAGTCAGAAGAGGATCAGTGGTTTGGTCCTGTTTGTGGCCTGAGATTTAACTAGAATTTAGAAAAATGAAAATGTCTGATTTGGTGAAAGAGGAAGCAGTTTGGTATAGAGTATGTGCTAGCCTTTCACCCTCTAGTCACTAAACGCCAATTGTATTGATAATGTACAAGGGTCTTGGCCTATTAAATAATACTTTAATACACACACACACAAACACACACACACAAAAAACAAAAACACAACCAAACAAAACAGAAGCCACCAAACAACATGGCACAAAACAGTTTCTGCTCAGGAAAAAGGCCCAGGACTGTAATAGCAGGGTTATTGCACATTGGATTGAAAACTGATTGATGTTGTAAGTAGAAGCCAGTAGTGCCTGCCTGTGTGACATCTGACCCTTAACCAGTGCTCTTATTTCCTCATCATCATGAGCACTTGTGCACAGCAGCTGAAATACAGAGAAAAACAAAAACATTCAAGAGTGATGCAGATCTCTGCATTGGATAATATGGGTATATAAGCAAATAGCATAAAAATAGACAAGGTAGCTAATTGTACTTGCATTTGTTTTCACAGAAGGTATTGCAGCCGTTTTGTTTGAAACCAGATTTTCATTTTGAAATGAAATTGTCAGGGATATTCTAATGATAGAGAATTACAGTAATGTATTGCTTTTCACTTTTTTGCTTTAGTTGCTTAATATTTAAGCTTTGCTCCGTGCTACCTTCTTGTCTGTATATTGAATGATCACTATGCCTCTTTCATTTTGTAGACTTGAATGAGGAAAATATGATTCATCCTTTAAGGTTTGCTGAGAAGTAAATGATAAAGAATGTTGTGTAACATTTATTCAAATAAAGCCTTGATTTTTTTCAGTGCTCTTTTAAAGGGAAATAATGTTGAATAATGTTTTGATGTATTAGCTTCCTTGTTTTTTTAGTCCTTGACCCAAAAGCCTTTGATTTCTGTTTTTTATTCTTCTTTTTTTTTTTTTTTTTTTTTTTTTCTTTCTTCTTCTTTTTCCGTGAATTAAACAAAGATTAAACTGAGGTTACTAGTCCACTGCTGGAAGTGAATCACCTGGACAAATCCCTATTCAAAGTTACATTTCACCACAGTGGCTAAAAGATGCTAAGTCACGCTCAACCAGCCGGATGCTTTCCATGGGGAAAAGCTCTTCTTTTTCTTGCCGTGTCATTAATGAGACAAGATTACCCATACTTTGTAGAGACAGATACAAAGAAATCCTAATGGCCCCATTTCATGGCTGTGACTGAGACTGCACCCAGCTCAGTTGAAGGAGGAAGGTGGAGGTCCTGCTCAGAGGCTGCTGCCCCTTTGGCCATGCTTCCAGCACAGTCGGTGAGTGCCGAGTGAGCTGCAGAGCTGGGGGTGAGCTCAGGGCTTCCCTGGACCCACTGTGCAGAGCGAATCTCCCCAGAAGCACGAGGGCCGTGCCATCACCGCTGCAGCAAGGCACAACGCAGCAGGAGCACAGGACATGCTTGGCCTCTGAATACCTGCGCCCCGCCTGCTCACCTCTCCCTTGACTGTTTTTCACTCACAGCACTAACAGTTTCAGACAAGTTGTCTATCGCAGGTAAGTGTAATACAGTGTTTCTCCATTTGGGGAAGAAATGCCTTATGCTGAGTTGCATTCTCTCATCATGGTGCCCTAAAGGAGGGGAGCAGGTTGTGCTGTACCAGTTGCCTTGTGAAACGGGGCTCTGCACCTCCGGCACTGTGGTCACAGGAGGGCGGGTTGGGAGACACTTCTTCAGGTGGTAGATTTGTAGGAGATTATTATGTATGTATAAGATAGCATGTATACAGATTTTTTCCCACTTGTATTTTTATTACTGTAAAGAAAAGTTATCCTAGTTGTAATAGAGCACTTAGGTAAAAGCAAAAAAAAAAAAAAAGAAAAAAGCTCAGGTAAATTTGATTTCAAGGAAGTTCTTCTTTCAAGGTAGTATTGATTTTCTTTTGATGCTCGGTATGCGTGGAACTAGAGGGCAAGACAGAGGTATTAACCCTCCTGTAAGTCAGGCATTTCGTTGCAGTGACCTGGTGTCAGCAGTAAAGTCTTTCCCAGAATTGATTCAGCTCTGGAGCAGAGTGAGCACATGCACGTATGCTGTCTGTAGCAACTCTGACCTTGGCCCAGGACCTCTGTGATGCTTTTGAAATCAGTTGGTGTAACTGTAACTGTGAGCAAGTCTCCACGTCTGTCTGTGGCTTGGAACAGAGCTCCAGCATATGTTTCTCTTTGCCTGCACATTCTGTCCGGATTACAGGAACTCCCAACCTCCTTCTCTCATTATTCATTCATTCTTGCAGCAGTTCCTCTTGAATTGGTTATCCTCATTAGGGCTTGGTAGAGAGGGGAAATCCTGCTGAAATGTAATTGCTCACTAATGGCTTTTCTTTTGTGACAATGTGTTGGTAGCATCTTGCTGTGGAGCCTGCTGGATTTGCTGGAAGACTGTGAAACCCAGAGGAGAGGTTAGCCATACAAGCTATTCTGCAATTACCCCATTGATTAATCTTCAGTGGTTTGGTGATGAAAGTATAAAAGTAATCCAACCTTCAGCAGCGAAGCCAGTCCCACACAATCCCATTCAGTAATAATGTTTACTGCTTCCCTGAAGCATCAAAAGGGTGATACTTAATGAGGGCAAAAGTGCATGTAGCAGCTGCTTAATGCAGCTTCTGGTGCAGGAAGGTTGGCGATGACTTGCCAGCTGAAACGTGAGGGATTGACACACAGAAATAAGATTTCTTTTAGGGTGAGACCAATGGGAAGACTTCTTTAGGAAATCAGATAACTCACTAACAGAGAGATGATGTAGTCAACTCAGACACTGTCACATACTCGTTATTTTTAAGCATTATGTGGTGAGGAGCCCAGCGAGAGGGAAGCCAGTTACCTGCCCGAAGCCTCATCTGTAGTTAAGGAAATCACACACGGGACTTCTGCATTACCCTTGTGCTCCCTGGTGATGGACTGGGCTCATTTCCCTGATAGACAGCATCCTCCAAGGCTATTAAAAGTGTAAGGGGTTGCTGAGATATGCATGGTAAAGTCATTTTGCAGCTTTTGCAATTCCTAGAAAGTTGGGAGTGCAAGAAGCTTGGGAGCTGCTCTGCTGCACGGCGTTGGTGTGGTAGTGCCATGCACGGAGTGCTCACAGCGCAGTAGAGATGCGAACTGTGCTGTAAGAGAGCTCCTGCCGTGGCTCAGTTGGTGGCACTGCTATGCCCCAGCTGCCAAATGTTAACGAGTGTGCCAGGCGACTCAGCAGGATGATGCAGCAGCATGGCTTTGGTACCAACTGCCCCTCAGTGTTACCATTTTTCTCTTGTTCTCTTGTCCTTGCTCAAGTCGTTGGAAGTGGATTTGTTGTTTTCCCTCTTTGTGCAGGAAAGGCTGCATGGAGGCACTGCCTGGGACAGGCAGAGCGTGGCAAGGCTCAGCACCTACTGGGTGGCATTAGAAAAAAGCTCAGGTTATTTCCTGTTTCATACAGTGCTGGCTGTTTTTTGTTTGAGTCCTGCAGTCTGTTTTTACGGTTCTGCTCAGGTTTTTCCCTTGTATGTTTGTGTGGTTTTGTTTCTAGTCACTTGCTGGAACCCAAGCCTTGGGCGCTCAGGGCTGGGCAGGCTGTGACCGGTGTATCAGCTTTTGGGCTCTTCTGAATTTTGGGCAAGTATTCAAAGCCAAGGAGAGGTAGTTCTAACTCTGAAATCCAGATTTTCAGCTAAGAGTTCCAAGTCTTAAAAGCTTAGGGACTAGAATTTCCAAATGTGGTCATCTTGGTCATTAAATATTAAACCAAGGCTGTGCCTGCTTGAGGGCTCACTCGAATACTGAAGTACTCCGAGACATCAGAGAAAGGGGTTGGGGCTCTGGGGTGCAAAAGGAGGACTATTAGACTGTGCTAAAGATGAGATTCCAGAAATACTTCCTCTGTACAGACTGAGAAGGCTAACCCTCTCATGAGTCACTGTTTGCTCTGTTTGCCTTTTCAAAGCTGTGAGGACAGGGACTAACATACATACATCATGTTTCCATTCTTACAGTGAAATTGTATCAGAGCTTTCAGTTGCGTCTTGGCTTAGTAAACTTGCTTCTGGCTGCAAGTATCATTGCCTCTGCTGCGTTTGATGTGGGGGACACAGGTACCTTGGGGCGGAGAGCTGTCACCTAAAGGGCAGGGGCAGGCCCTTGGCCAAACGCAGTGAAGTGCCCACACTCCCGGCCTCCTCTTTCCACAGGTTCCCAGATGCTGCAATTCTCAGTTCCCTTCTCAGATAGAAAAGTGCCCCAAGATGGAATGCTGCAGCCAAATGAGCTAATGGAAATGTGTCAATCTCACTGAGATAAAGAAAGATGCAATTGTTGGGAGCAGTGTGTGGATGCAATTAGCCCAGCAGAGCCCTGCTGCCTCCCCAGGGGCCCGTTTTATCACTTGGTACCTGCCATCACCACTCCAGGAATATGTTCAGGAAGCTATTCCAGCAGTCAGGCTCAAATCTACAGCCCAGGCTGGATAATACCATTTCCCCTCTCGCTAACATCTCACCTCACCAAGACATCAGCTGGCAGCAGGGCTGCTGTTCAGCAACACCTCCCGGACCGCTGCACTCAGGGCTGTGCCTGGGGGACGGGCTGGGTTCACATTCAGGAGTGAGAAACAGAACAGAAACCCACCTGCCCCACAGTGTGTGTCTGGCTTGAGTTAGGGAAGGCAAACCTCTTCTCTTTCTGCCGTGTCCATGTCGGAAAGGTGGCTTTGTAAAAGGCCTTCTCAAGGGCCAGCCGCTGGGAAGCGGGCAGGTATGGGGAATCCTGCCTGCTTCCAGGCTGGAGCCGGAGCTGCAAATGGTGAAGGCCCCAACTGGGAGGATTAACCACTGAACATGCAGGGACATAAAAACATGGTTAATGGCTTTCGGCTGTTTTAGGGCATTGCAGCTATAAAGGACTTTGCTCTGTCAGGGTAGGCTGTGATGGCTCTGGCTGAATGCCACAGCTGCTGAGAGCCTGACAATTTACTGTGCAGGCTGTGTCTCTGACAATCAGGCTACTCAGAGCCTCTGCTGATAGAAGACACCCCCAGCACATACAGGCATCCAAGCAGGAGGCTGAGCAGGCTTGGATAAAAATTAGGCTGCTGAACAAGAAAAAGCTGGGATTTTTCCAAACATGGAAAGCTTGTGAATGAGCAACGCATTAATGCTGTGCATTAAATGTGCCTGTAGTCATCTTTACCTCCTGTTAAAAAGAGGTGGTACTTCGATATAATTGCATCTTGGCTGCAGCAGCCGGCAGCAGAGCTTGGCTGTTGCAGGAGTCCCTTAGGAATAACACAGCTAATTAAAGCACAGGAGCTGGTGACCGGCAGCTTCTTCTTTCTCTGCAGCTGCCTCTGTGCTAATCAGAGGTAGGTAGAGCTCAAGGAAGTTTTGTGCTGAATCGTGCTAATCAGGGAAGGAAGGATTCGGCTTCAAAGCTTGGTCCTTTATGAAACCCTAAATATTCTGGTGTGAGGAGCTGAGAGAGATTTCAGATCCCTGCTTACTGGCTGGGTGGGAGGGGATCAGCGGCACTGTGGTTACAGTAAGACATGGGCATGGATTATGTTAGTCCCAAGGTCTCTTTTCCTAACTGGAGACTCTTGCCTCTTGCTTAAGACTGGTGTTTTGAAAGACAGCTCTTACAATGTAAAGGGAGCACTTTTTATTGTTATTATGCTTTAAAGCAACGTTAAATCCCTTAAATCCTTGGTGAGGTGGAGGGAACTGCAGGTGTTCGGCTCCTCTGAGCACCAGGCCTTAGGACTCTCATGGTCAGAACCCAAAATCAGGTGGAAAAAACATGCTTTGGGCTCAGAAGCACCACACCCCCCACAGATCCAGCTGAGCTAGGCAGGGTACTGTTTATGCCCTCTGAGGGTGCTGTGCAGGTTGAGCTGAGCTCGTGGCCCTGCTTTTATCCTTTTACCAGGGGAAAACAGCAGAGGTGGCTTTGCTGGGCACTTCTAACTTGTAGCTGGCCGGGCTCCCCTGCTTTGAGCAGCATGGTCACAGTAAGCAGTGCCACAAGGGCAATGACACAGCCAGTGGGCCCAGGAGCCAGGGGAGAAGCAAGGCTAGGGAGAGGCTCTGCCCGTAACAGCCTCGGTGAGGGAGCCCAGTGGGGTTTGAGACCTAAGCATGGATGGCCCAGGGATGCGCAAGCAGCAGTTTTGTTTCTCAGGTGTCGTGGCAGCGGTGCTTTCCCTTGGGTTTGCTCACCAGGGTACGTGACAAGACGCTTCAGGATGAGAACTCAGGGGTGCCCCACGCCCTGCTGTGGTAAGCCACAGCAAAGGGCTTTAAAAACAAACAGGATTTTGACAAGGTTTGTGGAGACCTCCTTGGTGGCTGTTTGACTGGCTGCCTTTTTTTGCTGAGGAGACTGTTAGACAAAGCTTTTTCTGGGGAATAAGTAAGAGCCTTTGCGTTTTCAGGAACCTCAAATATACAGCCTAGAGCTTTCTGAACAACTGATTCTGGAAACCTTGCATGTCTGCCACCACTTGTGTCTACGGTGTGCCTTGGTGCAAGCATCGAAATGCCAGCTACAGCTACAAGGCTGGGGGGTTACAGAGACCCAGCAAGTGTCTGCTGCTGGTGCTGAACACAGGAGGGAGAACAGCTTCTGGGACATCCTGTGAAGCTGTAAAACCTCAGTGATTGAGTAAGTGAAGACAGGCTTTGGAAACAGCCCTACGTCACTGCACGCCTTGGATTTAGGGCACAGAGAGCTCCCTCAGAGGGAAAGTCAGCTTGAGGGGGCTGAGTGTAGCATGCAAGCTCTGCTGGGACAGCTCACCTGCTTGTGGCCTGGACTGTCTGGATTTTAAGTAACTTAGGTTTTAATTTGTGCTAACCCAAACACCCACCCTGTTAACTTTCTCTTTGTCCAGGTCTGATGCAGGAGCTGGACTGAGTGGTGGTAGAGAAAAAGAGGGTGAACACAGCTCTTTTGGGTATCCCACTCCCATGGAATGAGAAAAAGTAGAAGTAACAGAAGTGATACAATCCTAAATTTAATGTAAATAACCTGCATTGAATTATCAGAGAGCATTTACTCCTCATATTCCTGTACAATAAGAAAGTTGGCACAGTCTCACAAATGAGGACAAAAAAAGATAGAAGCTGTAGCATACGGTAACGTGCTGTAATGACTAAACTAGCAGTTACTTGGTATTACCTATCCTGAAAGCATAGAACTGAAGAAGGAGTGGCAACTTTAGATACCATGGACTAAAGAGGCTACTGAGCACATATCACTGGATGTGCTGGTAAAGCTCAGGAAACGGTGCTAACAGCCCCACCACAAAATGGATAAGCTACTTTTTGAGTGCCCTCGTAATGGAAAGCTAAAGTGATGGATACAGACTGGACACTCAGTTTTCTGAAGTTATTTTCTGAAGTATGTCATCCTGGATATGTTACTTTGGACCATATTATGATGTCTAGAGACAAAAATCCATGTCCTGGAAGTTTGTGGCTACAATATAGTGTTAGTCCATCAAAAATAGATCTTGTCATTGAACCAGGCTTAGTAAATTTAATTATAGAGATGCACTACCTGGCATTGCACTCAACAATATAGGTAATGTTTATAGATAAACATCCACAATATTAAACACATGATGCACACTTAGATTAAGGATCTTAGATTAATCTCAGAAAAACTTCTGCTGTCCTTCAAGTTGGGATGCTTCCCATGAGATCCTGCTAGGCCTTCTGCTAGTCAACTCTCTTGTCTGTGACTGAGAGGCAAACCAAAAGCCACTCCTGAAAATGGCGGTAAGCAACAGTGTGATAGGAAATCATACAAAACAACTTGTATTTTTCAGTAAGCTGGGCCTACCAAAGAAGACATGACTTAATTCTGTGTTTAGCTGCAGTAACACAAGCAAGGAAACTTGCCCACAGCTGCAGGAAAGAGGGGTCTGTGTCTCAGGAACCAGTTAGCCCAGAAAAGGCTTAGGAGAGGTCTAAAACTTGGCACAGCTGTTGCCAAAAGGGCTTACTGAGTTTGAGCACTTAAACAAGGAAGAAGTGAGCAAGAACATATAGAGCAGAACGGAGACAAATCTCAGCGTCAGTTCTGATGTCCTCTCTTCAATCTCAAAAAAAAATGAAGTTCCAAGACACAAACATTAGGGAAAGCCTGGAGAAAATTCTTTGTAGGGAGAGACTTGAAGCCCGGTCTCTTCAGCTCATAGAGAACATCATCAGGCCCCCTTATTACTATGCAAACATGCACAGGGAGAAAATGCCAGGTACTAAAAGCATTTATTCTTGCAGAGGAGTAAGAAGGAACAAAGGCTGGGAGCCAAGGACAGACAACACCAAGCAGAAAAAAGGAATGTTTGTTGAAAACACAAGGTGAGTAACTATTGGAAGGCAAGGGAAGTTGTTGGTTTAGAGCATTTATATTTAAAAGATTGTTTCATAAAATATTTTTTCCTATTAGAGGTTGTAAACCCAATGCATGCGCCTCAAAACATGCTGGCAATGCAGTGGATTTGCGGCCAATTACAACAGGAGGAAGTACCAATTACATTTCTGTTGACAGCTGTGATGAACAATTTGGACATAAAAAATCCCTTTAAAAATAAAAAGCCCAAAAAAACACAGCTGTTTATGATTCGGACAATGCAAAAGGGCTTCATCAGGCAATTAATTGGAGTTTTACCTAGAGGAAAACTTGCTGTAATGTCAGATAATACAGTCCAGAGGTTTCTATTCTAGCACTAGAATGGCACTTTGAGTACATCTGACCTATAGATTTGAGTCCTCTGTAACGGTGCATGCAATTTCCAGTGACATTAAGCCACCTCTTTCGCACAGTGAAATTAAATTACAAACACAAGTGTGAAAAGCAAATCAACTGCCATCATTCAGCTTCATTTGTTCTTCCTTTCATTTGGAAACTATAGGCACACATCAGTCATTCAGCAAGGAAGTTGCACACTTTTTTTCTTTTTTTTTTTCTTTTTTTTTTTTTTTTTTTTTTTTTTTTTTGTTTTTTGGTGCTTGTGCAGCAGGTAGAAATATTAAAAGTTTTGTTGTGCTTTTATTTTCCAGAATAACTGAACCGGCCTCCCCCCAAGAAGGCATATTTGCAGCCCTCCAGGCCTTCAAAGATATGAAGCCAGAACAGAATGGAAGGAAGAATATTTGTCACCAAATTCCTTTGTAAGACAAAGCAACAGCTTGCTAAGTCACTGCCTGTAACTTTGCACAACAGCCATACACTGGTAAATAATAGGTAAGCACACACAGGCTGAGTAAAGGTAGCCGTTAATTGGTAGTAAAGGATACAAAGAAAACATACGGTGTGCACAGTAGCTTCCACATGGTTCCATTTACATGTGGTCTAAGAGCACGTACATATATTGCAGTTGAGTGAAGCTCAGAGTCCAGACCTAGGCTGCCTCATGCAGTGATGCAGGACTACTGCTGCTGTTGCTAAACCAGACAAAACCCTAGATGTGCTCCTTTCCCCACCCTTCAAGGCATTACCTAGTGAAGCTCCTCAGTGGAGCCTTGCTTCAGCTCCAGCCAGACCATACCACTTCCAGGGCCAGCTGCTTTTCCAATGTGGAGTCTAACAGCAAGTACTGGCATCTCTATCTGGTGTGTGCTCAACTGGGAGCTCTGGTGAAGCACAATTCACGTTCCCCAGTGGCTCCTCAGTTTGGGCTCAGGCCAAGCTTATGCATTCCAGCCAGCTCAGCACTGCTTCTACCCAGGGCGCCTTCGGAGCTTGGACACCTCTGCTCCATAGTACTCCAGGTTTCAGGAAAAGTTAGCAAGATTTATACTAATCCCAACATTCTGTCCAAGCTAACAAACCTTCCCTGAGCCTGAAGAGCTCAGTTCTGAAAACAGGATGGTTTTACAGCTGCCAGCAATAAGCCAGCTAACAAGCCACTCTGGACCTGCAGACACTCCAAGTGTGAGCACGCTTCTCTCCCAGCACATTCTCTCATAGCCCAGGTAAGCTCAGCCCACCTCCCTTGATACCAGAGCCCAACACACCCAGCATCAGGCTGGCAAACACCTCTCCAACTCCTGCTACCTTGTGGCTGCTCCCAGGAGCAAAATCTTTCTTTAAAACCTCCCCTTTACACACCTACCAGTCTGCCTGATTTTAGGTAAGACAATTGAGCCTTGCACGATTGGAATAGTACTCCAGTAAAACAAGACATGGTTACAGTTTAAGCATATGGAAATCCTAGAGGCTCTTTTTGTTTAGTTAAGTGACATTTTAATTATGCAGAAGATGTTAAAGGCAGCATAGGCCTCACTGTGAATTAGGTCTTCTTTTGACAATGACTGACATTTTACTTCCCACAGATATAATACATACTCCTTGCAGACATGAAATGGTTTATAAACAGTTAACAACAAAGTCAAAACTAAAAATGCATGAGAATACAGTTAACAATTAAAAAAAAAAAAAAAACACAACAAAACAACACCCCATGCCTCTAAGCATGCACTGTCAAAATGGAAGAAAAGCACCAAGAAACCTTAGCATGAAAGACTATTCCTTTCAGGCCTATCAGTGTAAAGGCTGGAGCTCAAGACATGCAACCACTACGATTTCAGTCCTGAAGGACACAAAAAACGCTTCTTGAAATGTAAGATGATAACTAACAAACAGCTATCAAACAGCTGCTACTAATTACTTAAATCATATACTGAAATCTGCATGGAGACAACTGAAAAATGCCTGCAATGTAAACATTTCAGCATTGATATAAAAACCAGTTAAGTAGTAAATACAAGACACCCCTTCAAAACCTGAAAACCCTTGAAAAACCACACACATGTATATGTATTTCTTTTTATGCATCTATCTATAGATAGATGCTTCAAAGTTCTCAAAGTCTACAAGAATCTTTTGCAATCAACTGTAGTATCACTTGTTGGCCACTATGGTTAGCTGTAATATGAATGAATCTCAGACAAGCAAATTTCACTAACTTTAGGGCACTGTTACAAGGTGTATATATATTGGCATGTAACTGTCCATGTCATCTTCAAAATAAATAAAAAGTAAACTAACTCTGAGGTAAGGGTAGTCTCTGGTGCTGCTATAAGCAAAAGAAAAAAACCTCAAATGGTTCAAAGTAATGTCTTGCAAGTATGCTATTTATAAGCATTTTTAACAATACTACCCCCATGGGAACGAATCATACAAGGCAAGAACTTCACAATACAAACCAACAGAAATACTAAGCCTTTATTACAAAGAAAAAAATATTCCACAGAAGAGGTCAGCTTGGTTCTATGCATGCTGTCAGTCATATTCACCTGCTGAGTGTGGAGAAGTGGCTTCTGCTAGATGTATTAATCCCTCAAGATGCTGTTAGGCTTTGTTCTTAGCCACAAGTGCACGGGCATTTTGATTTAACTGAATTACTTGTTAGAATGTTGTTGCCAGCATTAAATGGGCCAAAATAATGAACCTGACTGTTGGACATGCCAAAAACTGCAAGTGAAAAATCACACACTGAACATAGTTATTACTAAGAAATCAAATTACTTTCTGTACATCCACACTGTAAATAATTTTACAAGCAGGGAAATGAAAATGCTTGAGTCTATCTTCACTTGGATAGCGTGAAGAATGTCTGCTGATTCCTTTTAGTGGTACGTGCAAGCACAATGTCATAAAGCCTGAAAGCCAGCAGAACTAGAATGAATTCACATTATCTATTGTTGTTTGGATTTTGAACAAAATTGATGGAATATGAACCAGTTGATGAATCTTGTTTTATCTGGAAATTTTCTGTTGACAGGCCAAAGGGGCGGAGAACCAAATTCCCAAGATCTTTCAGTTTGCCTACAATGAAAAAGAAGTATGTGAGTAGTAAGCAGAGGGAAAACTCCCACTGAATTATGCCCAATTACACAGTCCAGCTCTATTAGTTTATCTACAGACTTAAGGTAAATGCTATGGAAATCTCTTCAGTTAGTTGAATATTTAAGCTCTTCCATGAACTTAAAAAAAAAAAAAAAAAGCAGTTATGATGTCAACTTTGGGGGTTACAGCTGTCCAGAAGTTCTTTGTTTCCCCAGGTCATAAGGTCCTAACTAAGGAGAGTTGAACAGCTCACAGAAGAGGACTGGTCTCCCCTGTACTTAGATGTAATTTTGATAGCTGCCAATGCTCAGTTTTCTAACACAAGTTTTTCAGTTCATGCCACTTTTGGTGCAGCTACAGTTCTATAAAACATTCACATATGCTATAACTGCCCGTTTTCCTAGACTACCAGAAGAAACAGAGAAAACCAAAACTCAAACTCTGCCTACATGTAATTGCTACAGATCCCTTTTTAAGTGTGTACATTGATATGAAGAACATTAAAAGAAATTAATCCACAGAAATGTGCCTGCACCTGCAAACTAAGCAGTTCCCTTTGAAGTATACAACTTTATAACTATTTTGCTTGCAAAAACTTGGCAGTGTCATCTGACGTGTTATCATGAACTTGCCTTCCAAACTACAGCTCTCTGTAGCTAACTTATCACTGGAAGGAGTTCTAAGCACTCATTATTTAATTAGTACTGATAAATACATAGACAGTATGATAGTTAATAAAATCTAAGGGCTTTGATTAATATATACTACACAAGGTTTCTGACTCTAGAAAAGGAGTCTTGCTACCACCTATAAAAGAAGGACAACCAAAGGACACCATTGAAAAATAATAATTATATAGATTGTAGAGTAAATAAATCAAATAGATACAATGCATAAAAACAAACAAAAAGCAGAGGTAGCAACATTATGTTGGCTAAACACAAGCTAGCTGATCCCTGGCATAATAAGACAAAGGAGAAAGATGGTTGGTTACCCACAAATTATTTTTTTCTTGGCTTCAATGCACAGAAGTAGACTAACTTCCCAAAAAACAATCAGAGGCGTTGACAAGATGAAGCCTACCCTAGGTTTGCATCCACAGGCTATGCACCACCTTTTAAAAAGCCTACTACTTTGGCAGGAATGATGAACAAATACAGGAATGTACAACGCCAAGCCCTACACAAAGAGATGAACAGCATTTACATGGCACAAATAGATCAAGTCATTTGCCTTGCATGATGCTGCAGCCCTCTGACTGTGCTCAGAACTGAAACTCTATCAGTCTCAATTTAATCAGTGAATGTAAGAGATAAGGGGCATGCTATTTGGAAACCTGTTCAAGTAAGGTTAATCACCACCCCAATAAACCAAAATAGACTTTTTTTAATGACATCTGCAAAACTGAATGGGGGGGCAGGGGGAACTTTTTCCTGAGTACATTCACAGAAAATACAAAAAGAAACAATCCAGGGGAAAATGTAAACATTTTAAGGAACAACTCAATCCTGCATACAGAAACTAACAGTGTTACTACAGTACTCCTAAGCATGCTAGTGTAATTAAGCTTTTGCATTAAAGTGCTGGTTCACAACTGGATATCTTTCAATATTTGTGTAACTATTTTAAAGCAAGATTGGTCTTTGTGAGTCAAAATGGAAATTCTGTGGCCTTTTACAGGAGAAAAAAAAAAGAAAGCAACCTTGATCTACAAAAGCAGCTAGTTGGTAGGACTATTTCTTCAATTTGATTTTTGCTCCTGTTTGGCTTTACAGATGAGGTGGCTGAGTGGTCTGGCCAAGGTTACTCCAGTGGGTGGCTCAGCTGGGATTAGCTTCCTTCTACGGTTTATTTATTTATTTAAAGCTACACTGTTTGGTATAAATTTCTAAGTCAAGTTCATAATTCTACGCTGCATCCTAAATGCACTCTGGTTATAAAGCTCTACAGATGTTCATAGCATCTCTAGGATGGGGATGAATAGTTGCTATTGTACTTTTAGACAAACACTTGGTCATTGCTTAGCTCCATGTTTTGGGGTGAGATGCATCTTTGTCTATTGGTGGAAGAATTTGGCATAGTCTGGCATTCCTACAGCCAGTTGTAAACAGTTTACAAGTTATCCCAGCACTGCAGCTGGCTCAGGAGCAGGCAGACAAGTTTGCCTGTTTCCTGAAACACTGAAAGGCCTTTTCTAATTGGAGTATGATGGCTCTTTTCCGGTCATGCCAGAGCCAATAAACACAGAACAACCGCCTTGGCATTCTTACTTGTAGCCAGGCCAGTTCTTTGGGAGAAGCTAAAGATTGTATGATATATTTAATCCTTTATTCTTTGTCTCACACAAGCTGTAACTGAGTATTAAACAATACAGTTAGAGGTCACCAGCCTATCACTTAAACCCACATACTGCAATGCCTTTTAGTGCAGACACATTTATTGAATTGTTAATAAAGCAGAAGAAAGCCTTGCCTTTTCCGGGAACTCAAGCCCCAAGCACTGTTCCTGCTGCTTGAAGCACATAAACCCATCGTTGTAGGAAAGCACTATTTCCTCCTCCCCCACTCCCTCTTTCATCCTGAAATTTAGATCTGTAGTTAAGTCCAACCTCCCCCTTTCCCCAAAGACAAGTTCTCTTAAAAGGGAGACTGTGCTTGCAGGAGACAAAAAAGCCTGTGGGGCTGTGACTCAGCTGCAAGGAGTTCTTAGCAGTCAAGCACTCACTTGTCCTGGAGCAGGGTCACTCTCTCCTGAGACACTATTTCCATAGACCTTGTTCTTTGTGTATTAAAGAGCATACGTCTACTTCTCACCTGGAACTCCAGCATACATGTATCAAATTTATTCAGCAAAACAATATTCAGAGGTTAACAGGAAAACTAACTAGTAAAAGTCAATTTAGGGCTCAGAAGTCTGTGATTGATCTAAACTGAAATTTAATGTCCTATTGCAAAAAGGCAGATGCACAAAAGATTTCTCACTATTTATTCCTGATATAACAGCCAGAATTGACTGCTGTTGAGTCTTCTTGGTGATTCTTTGAATATAGTTCCTAGTGTTAATGTGTTGTTTGGAAGCTGAAAAGCCATATATATTTTTAAATAAGTTCTGTGGGAAGGTCTCATCTTTGTATAACTTTTTGCATTATTAACATTTAAGTAATTGAAAGAATCAGGACAAGTCATCCTCCCTTCCCTAAATAATAAGGGAAGGACTGAACCCAAAGTAATTGCACATCAGATCTGGTTTGAACTATTTAAGTGACCTCATGTTCTCCCTACACACCGTACAGGGCTTCAGCAGCTTAGCATCAAATACACTATGTCCTTCAGTATCAAAGAAGAAACTCATTCTTCAGGCATTAATCCTAATAAATATTTTCACTAACCTTATGTAGTTGGAAAGAGCTCTTACTGATCAGAAAGTCCAGGTGATGTGCTCTGATATGCCTTTCCATTAATCACAGGTACATTATTTTCTGGAAGTCACTTATTTTATAAATTAAGCTGAAAGCTGATCAGATTTGATGAATTATTTGTATAAAATGAGTTACACAGATTGGCATATTCCATCCTAATTTTGTATATCCAATATACTTTGCTATCAAATGGCAATGCAGAAAATTGCATCACCACCACAGATCACAAGCTGTTAAACTTTGCTGAAGACTAGCTTGTTGCACAACAGCTAGAGATCTTTTGTTTTAAAATCTGAAGAGAAATTAAAAAAAACACAGGAAGTGGTTAGTATGTGTTCTAATCCTGGGCAGTGACTGAAACAGAGGATGCTCACATTATGAAAACATAAAGGAAAAGAACTGCAGAAGGGCTTGGGTTGCTGGGGACCTTTAGAGATCATCTAGTCTAGGTTTTGGCTGGAATAGTTAATTTTCTTTGTAGAGGCTCACACGATGATATGTTTTGGATTTTTGGTGGAAACATTGATAATGCAGCAATGTTTTAGTTGTTGCAGAGCCATGTTACATAGAGCCAAGGGCTTTTCAGCTCCTTGTGCACCAGCAAGGAGGCTGGAGGTACGTAAAGAAGCTGGGCGGGCAGGACCAGGCTGACCAGAGAGAGATATTCCACACCACAGGACATCATGCTCAGCAATAAAAGCTGGAATAAAGATGGAGGAACGGGAGACATTGAGAGTGATGGCTGCTCTTGGCTTGGACTGGTGCACGCTTCGTTGGGTTAGAAACTGGCTGGATAGCCGGGCCCAAAGAGTCGTGGTAAATGGAGTCAAGTCCAGTTGGAGGCCAGTCACTAGTGGCGTTCCCCAGGGCTCGGTGCTGGGGCCGGTCCTCTTCAACATCTTCATCAATGATCTGGGCGAGGGCGTTGAGTGCACCCTCAGTAAGTTTGCAGATGACACCAAGTTAGGTGCGTGTGTCGATCTGCTCGAGGGTAGGAAGGCTCTGCAGGAGGATCTGGATAGGCTGGACCAATGGGCTGAGGTCAACTGCATGAAGTTCAACAAGGCCAAGTGCCGGGTCCTGCACCTGGGGTGCAATAACCCCAAGCAGAACTACAGGCTGGGACATGAGTGGTTGGAGAGCTGCCAGGCAGAGAAGGACCTGGGAGTGATGGTGGACTAGTCGGCTGAATATGAGCCAGCAGTGTGCTCAGGTGGCCAAGAAGGCCAACAAGCATC